AACGTATTCTGAGAATACGATTTTCAATTAAATAAATCGTATTCTCAGAATCGTATTCCCAGCTGGATTGTACTAGTTTGATTAAATAAATCGTATTCTCAGAATACGTTTTTCATATAAAACAAACTAGTGGGCACTGCCCACACCGTGAGCAGGTGAGCGAGACTGTATATAATAAATTTAGATAATAAAGCATAAACTAATAGTGTACTTAATTAACTGCTAAAAAAAAATTGTATGTCAATCTATATTTTATATATGACTTAACTTATAGAAATAAAAATAACTATTAATACTGAAATTAGTACAATCCACGTGGACATTACGTATGCCTAAAATGATCACCAATTGTCTCGCTAACCCGCACGTGCAGCTCCAGCTGGCTCAGCTCCATCTTTACCGCATTGAAATCTTTCGTTTACAATAATCTCTAATTTTAATTTATTTTTTTCTAACCAATTCAAATTCAAATTTCCCTTTTACCAGTTTTTTATTACTTCTCAATTTTTTCTCACCGACACATTATTATTAAATAAATTAATTAATTAAATTTTGAATTCTCCAGTAATACAAAATTGCGAGAGATGCTCTGTTACACAACAATTCCGTTGAAATTTGTAACCGTTACACCAATTATCAATGATGGTTATATGATCATCTAACAGTTATAAACTCCCACGAAATGGTTCCGTACCACTTCTCCCACACACTTTATTATAATAATTGAATCGGAATAATTTCATTATAATTAATTAATTAAAAAATAAATAAATCTAACCTTAGTACTATCCGCAGCCGACTTGGTACAAGCGCCACCCTCCTTTACCGGCCCCACGAAGTCGTTTCCATTCTCGGGTAAATTTAAATTCACCTCCGGAGAAGAACATTTACCGCTGGATAGAAAATCATCGGACACGGTAAAACCGCTCCCGGACGACCAGCTGTCGCTCCTACTATCCCCCGACTTAATCAACGGCACCGACTCATCCTCCGTCCTCCGATCGGGCAATCCCCACCGTCCGATCACCTCCTCCTCGTCCGATTTCTTCTTCCTCTTCCAGAAGCCACTTATCTTCCTGGAAAGGCTCCGGGCCAGAGACGGGCTCCCGAGCCTCGCCTTCCGCTGCGGCCTGGCGGCGAAGGGGAGGCGTTTCGCGGCGGAGAAGATTTTTCTGAAGGCCGAGAGAGCCGATTTTGGAGGCGTTCTTCCTAATTTCAGATGCTTTTTCTGTTTCTGTGTTTTGCGGTCGAGATCGTGAAGGAATCGGACGGTGGTGCAGCATTGTGATCTTCTGGGGAAGGTTTTGAAGCCGTTGGATGAGCACGAGCCCATGTCGTCCAGCAAGTGGTCTTTCAGCAAAGAGGGCTTCGGCAGCGGCCTCGTCGGCCTAGCCCGAATCAAACTCGAATCCATTGGAAAAAACGGAATAAAATCTATATTCCTATTTGGAATTGGAGCTAAATGAAACAAGAAATCAGAGGGGTATTTAATGGAGCAGAGAGAAAAACAGAGCAGGTGTGTGTGGAGCCAGCTCGAGTTTATTGTGCAGTGAAAAACTGTGAAGTGGTGAGTGTAAAGAGGGAGTGAAAAAGGTTGTCCAGCTTTATAAAGGGGTCCTGAAAGTGAGAGGCAGCTTCAATTCAAAGGATGGGATTAGAAGAAGAAGAAGAAGCATGGATGCTTCTTCTTATACCTGAGGCTCTCAATTTGAATCTCAAATTTGATTAGAAAAATTAGTTTGTTTGTTTTGTTTGAATTATTTGAATCTTGAGTTTGATTTTAGTTTTGTTTAAGTCAAGTTGGTGGCTGGTTTCATTAATGAGAGAGTGATTTTGGTGCTAATATATCTCACTCTCTATGTGAGACTGAGGAGTGATTTTTTTAATCTTTGTTATTGTTTTCCCACGCGCATTGTGTTTCACCAGACCACCTGGCGCAGCAAAGCAATAACTAATTAAAATGACATGGGAAATTCTCGGCAAGTTCATCTTTATGTTAGATTTGAAGCTTGAGCTGCAAATGTACTTTTGGCTAAAATTTTCAATTAATATTATATGGATCTTACTTGATGATAACACGCCATTTTCAGTTATTTAAGTGTCGTTTATAATTTTATCGTGATGACAATTTTTGCATGTCGTAAAATAATATTTTTTTTATGAATTCATAAATTTAAAAATTCACCTCATTATTCAAAAATCAAAAGCATGGCCACAACACATGCATGCATATGCACTCAATCCCTCAATAATCATTCGTGGCTCTAAAAAGATTATATTTGGACACATTCAACAATATAATAAAATTAACATATTATTATATTACACGGTTTAAACAACATAAATTATGAGGCAACGAAAAAGCTATGCCCGACGTATCCGTCGCTCCATGTCCCACTTGGTACACTAATTCCACCCTTCTTCCACCACCAATCCTATCCCCCACACAATTATTATTATTATTTTTTTTAAAAAAAAAAAAGTAAAATAATACACTTTATCCTAATAAATAATACACTTTATCCTAAAAAATAATACACGTCAGCAAAACAGTACCCCAATTTTTTTTTTTTAGAAATTCCACAGTTCCACATCAGCAGGAACATCACTCGCCACTTCATCATCCCAACTGAACCTCCACCCCAAGCACGGCGGCGGCGACATCAAAGCCCCCTCCGCCAGCTCCGCCATAACATCATACTCTCCCGAGTAGCTCTCCGGCCTTTCTGCCGGCCCCGGAGCTTCCCCCCGGAAAGCCTCGGCGGCCTCGGCTGCGCACCTCCTCAGCTCCCGGGCATCAGTCGACGTCGGCACCGGCAGCCGCCAAACGGAGTCGGCGAAGTTGAGGCAGGCCGCCCGGCCCCTCAGGGCCAGGGCCGCCACGTCGTGGGCCCGCGCGGCCATCTCGGGAGTAGGGTACGTCCCGAGCCACACCCGGCGCTGCTCGGTGGGCTCCCGGAGCTCGCAAACCCACTTTCCGGCGTTCCTCAACCGTACACCACGGTACACGGGGTGGCGTGTCTCCCGGAACTTCTTCCTCCCGGCCCGTTTCTTGGGCCGGCTCGACGCCAGGATGAGGTCGTCGGCCGAGGATGACGATGCTTCCGAGGAGTCCAAATTGGAAAATGGTGAGTGTTCCATATCTATAGACTATATACGTAATTATGTATATATAATTCACGTATTTTTTTCTTTTTTATTTTTTTTTCTTGTGGTGGATAATGTCTGCAGTTTGATGAGTTGACTAAGGTCTTTGAGTGAATGAGAAAATAATGACTGGAGTTTTTATAGTGTGTCTAGTGTTTGGCACTTAAAAGAGTTTTGAGTGAGTATACAAGAGTGGGAAAGGGAGAGAACACGTGAAAACGAGGTGGACGCGAGAACACGGAATAAACTGCCTAAGTTTTTTTT